TGCTTTTGCTATTCTGGGTCTCTTCTGTCTTCGCATGAATTTTAGGATTATTCTGTCTAGATCTATAAAGTATGCTGTTAATATTTTAATTGGGACTGCATTGACTCTGTAACAGTTTTCGGAATCTGGCCATTTTGACAATCTTTGTTCGGCCTATCCAGGAGCAGGGGACATCTATCCCTTTTCTGATGTCCTCCTCAGTCTCCTTTTTCAGAGTACTGTAGTTCTCTTTGTAGAGATCTTTCACTTCCTTGGTTAGATTAATTTCTAGGTATTTCATTTTTCTTAAAGCTACCGTGAATGGTATTGTTTTCATAATTTCCCTCTCATCCATTTCATTATTAGTGTACACAAGTGCTAATGATTTTCATATGTTGATCTTATATCCTGCTACATTGCTGAATTTGGTTGTTTTAAGATTTTTTTTTGGTGGAGTTTCTTGGGTCTTCTATGTAGAGTATCATGTCCTCTGCAAAGAATGATCATTTGAGTTTCTCCTCTCCAATATGCATCCCTTTTATTTTTTTCTCTTGAGCAACTGCTCTGGCTAATGTTTCAAGTACTGTGTTGAATAGAAGAGGTGATAGTGGGCATCCTTGTCTTGTTCCTCATTTTAGGGGGAATGCCTTTATTTTTTTTTTTGGTACCGGGGATTGAACTCGGGTCCTTGTGCTTGCGCAGCAGGCGGCGAAACCACTGAGCTAAATCCCTAGCCCCGAGGGGTAATGCCTTTCGTGTTTCCCCATTTAGTATGGTGGTGGCTGTTGGTTTATCATAATTACCTTTTATTGTACTCCGCTATGGTCCTTCTATACCTGTTTTCTACAAGATTTTTATTATGAAGGGGTGATGGATTTTGTCAAAAGCCTTTTCTACATCTATTGATATGTATGGTTTTTGACCTCGCTTCTGTTAATGTGGTATATTAAATTTTATTTACATATGTTGAACCATCCTCACATCTCTGAGGTGAAACCGGCTTGATCTGTTTGCTAATGTGCTGTTTTACTAATATCTTCACATCCCCCTTCTTTTTTTAAAAAGTAACTTTATTATCAAACACACACATACAAAAATTAAAACCATTCAAAGAAGAACAATGCAAGGGAAAAATAAAACTACAATAATATTCAAATACAGTAGGACTCAACCAAAACAAAACTGAAAAGCACTTAAACATTTTTCCATATAACTTAAAAAAGCATCTCAAGCAGCAACACGACACCAGAGGATGTGCTTTGTTTCAGAAAGATCCCCAAAACCAATATTGAACAAATAGTGGTATGGAAAAAAACTCCAATTATCTAGCAGACTCCACATAAGCTAAGCTTCTCCCTAATTTAAATTTTGATACAGTCATATGACATGCGATGGAAACACAATCCAAGAAATATGTTATTAGGCAATTTCATCCATGTGTATCCTTAATTACACTTCCAGTTTCTCACACTAGAGAAACTATTCAGTATTTACACATATGTGTCCTATTTATTTCACTTAAGAGGATGGCCTCAATATGCATCCATTTAGCTATAAATGTCTCTAGTTTCTCATTCTTTATGGCTGAGTAGTACTCCATTTTATAAAAAAACCCACATCTTCTTTATCCAGTTTCCAGTTGATGGGCACTTGGGCTGTTTCCAAGCTTTAGCTGTTACAAACTGTGCCACTGTAAACATGGGTGCACATATATCTCTGTGGTATGATTCTTTTAGTTCTTTTGGGAAGATACCCAGCAGGGGAATAGCTGGGTCAAAAGGGACCTGTAGTCCTAGTTTTCTGAGTTATCTCCATATTGACTTCCACAGTGGTTGCACCAGTCTGCACTCCCACCAACAATGGAGAAGGGTTCCTTTCTCCCCATAGCCCTGCCAGCATTTGTTATTGAATGATTTCTTAATAGCAGCCATTCTTTCTGGGGTGAGTTGGAATCTCAGTGTTGTTTTCATCTGCATCTCTCAAATGACGAGTGATGTTGAACATTTTTTCATATATTTATTTTCTGCTTTTACTTCTTTGTCTGAGAAATGTCTGTTCATTTCAGATGCCCATTTTTGAATTGGGTCTTTGAATTTAGGGGGTCTGATTTTTTTCAGTTCTTTCTATATTCTAGATAGTAGTCCTTTGTCTGAGGTACAGTTGCTGAAAATTTTTTCCCACATTGTAGGTTGTCTCTTAGCTCTGTTGGTGGTTTCTCTTACAGTGCAGAAGCTTTTTAATAAGATAAGATCCCAGTTGTTGATTCTTTGTGTAAGTTCCCATGCCACTGAGGTTTTATTCATAAAATCTTTTCCTATACCAATGTCTTCAAGAGTTCTACCTAATTTATCTTCCAGCAAATTTAGTGTTTCTGTCTTAATATTTAAATCTTTAATCCACTTAGATCTTAATTTAGTGCATGGTGATAGGTATGGGTGTAGTTTTAATCTTTGGCAGGTTGAAATCCAGTTTTTCCAACACCATTTATTAAATGGGCTATCTTTCCTCCAATGAGGGTGGTTGGCTCCTTTGTCGAAGATGAGGTGGCTGAGCATATCTGTAGTTGTTTCTGCATCTTCTAATCTATTCCACTGATCCTCGGGTCTGTTTCTTTGCTAGTACCATGCTGTTTTTATCACAGTAGCTTTGTAGTATAGTTTCAAGTTGGGGATTGTGATACCCCCAGCCATGTCTCTGTTGCCTAAAATTTCTTTTGCTATGTGAGGTCTTTTCTGGTTCCAAATGAATTTTTGGAACACATCTCCCTTGCTATCACCATCATCCTCTGTAGCTTTGGGCTCAGGCTTGGCCTTTTCCATCCAACTGTTTTTCTGGGTAGATTAGTAGTCAGAAACCTTGACAATAGGGTCTCCTCTTCTTCCTCCTCCTCCTCCTCCTCCTCCTCCTCCTCCTCCTCTTCTTCTTCTACTTCTCCTTCTCCTTCCCCTCCTCCCCCTCCTCCCCCCTCCCCCTCCTCCTCCTCCTCCTCCTTTTTTCTCTTTTATTTTTTGGTACCGGGAATCAAACTCAGAACCTCGTGCTTGCCAGGCAGGTGCCATGCCACTGAGCTACATCCCCATAGGATCCTTCTCTTATGGCCTTTTGCTGAACCCTTTCTTTTTCTTAGGCTTTCCAGACTATTCTTTGGACTTCTTTTAAGGCAAGAGGTCTTAGGGGCCCAGGAATGCCACCTAGTGGTTCCAGAAAAAGACTTCCTATTTGTTGGCTATTGATTTCATGGCAGCCTTGGGCATCTGGTCAATCTAGGCTGGCCAGTGTGGGTAACCCTTCATTTTAGTGACCGTGACGTCCCTGCATTTGTACTGCTGCTAGATGGATCATGACATGGCATGGCCATGGTTCCCTTCCTGTGTGCCCCTATGATGCCAGTAATGAGGGTCTGACAACCTAGGAAGTGTTTCTTGAGCAGGGATTCCAGGAACTCTTTTTTCAAAAGAAAGATTGACACTTCTGGACTCTTGAGTCTGCAATGGGTGGAGTGTTGCTGATTCCTGAGATGCCCTCAAGGCATCTTTCTTGTCCCTGTACAAAGTACATGATTTCTTTTTAATAGCACTAACCTTTTTAACAGCCAGACATCTGTTGGCCCCACTTTATACATAGTTCCTTTTGGGCCAAAATTTAAAATTTTCAAATTTGTGTGTTCTGTGTTTTGCCCCTGATTCTCATTATAAATACGGCCAAAATCAGCCTGCAATATTCTTGCCACACTCAGAATGTTGGACTGCATTGAAACTTTTCCTACCAGATTAATTAGTCCACCAGCCGTAATTTCAGTGTCTTGCAAGGCCTCAGGACATGGGCAAAATATAGACAATTTTTTTGCCAGCATATAACACACATGGCCTCTAGCCCAACTGCCCACAGACTCCTTATTCCCATCTGAAACCTTCTGAGCCTGGCGTTTACTCTCCACATTCCTATGAGCATTCTGGTCTTCTGAACTCTGACCATAATCACTCATCAAAGTTTTGTTTATAGAGTTCTGGGTTTCTTTAGCCTACATCTCCAAACCTTTCCAAATTCATCCCAAAACCACTTCCAAAGGTATCTAAACAACATAGCCAAGTACAGTCATAGCAGCAGACCAACTGGTACCAGTTTTCTGTATTAATCAGCTTTCTTATGGCCATACAATAATTGACAACCACACTATAAAAGAGGATAGACTATCTGGGAATCTAGCTCAGTGGTTCCAGCGCCTGCCTTGAAAGCTCAAGATCCCGAGTTTGATCCCCAGTACCAAAAAAAAAAAAAAAAAAGAGGAAAGGCTTAATTTAGGTCACAGTTTCAGGAGTTTTAGTCTGTGATCAACAAGCTTCAAGGCAGAAACATCGTGGCAGGAAGGGCATGGTGGAGCAAAGCTTAGTTCCTGGCTGTGGGAAGCAAGGAAGGGGAACAGTGCCAAAGAGGAATGGGCGAGGGACCATATATAGTACCCAAGGTCATGCTTCCATGACCTACCCAGACAAACCCAAAAACATACTTTTTAACACGCTAGACATTTCTTAATCCAGTGAAGTTGACATAGCAGGATTAATAGTCACAGTACACTAGCTTTCCCCTAAACAATACTGTAGAGTCCTGTAGTCATAGCCTGAATAGTCACACTGCTGGTTCATTTAGGAGGGAGGAAAGCAGGCCAGAGAAGGCTACCTGTAAGCCTTCTGCTCTGCGTTCCTTGGGAAGACATGCTGCATAGTTTCCTTCATGAGTTGTATCAATTATAAGTCACATTTCTCAGGGCATAAATTTCTTTATCTGTAAAATGAGACTGTTAATACTTATCCACATAAGCTGCTCAGCTCACCATCCACTTTTCTAGCTCTAGATGAGACAGAACTTCTCTAGCATTATATGATCAGTGGTATATGTGTATGTGTGTTTGTATGTTCAATGTGTTGGATTATATGGGACTTTTGTATCAGGGTGAAATGACTTCTGTATTTGTGAACATAGGTATTGTGGTCAATTCTGAGTTCTTGTGTCTTCTTTCTAAGGAACCAGTTAGCCTTCAGGAAGAAAAGGCACCCGCAGAAAGGATGGTAGCTGACTGGCTGACAGATTATCAGGTAAAAAGAAAATATCTTTGTCCAAAACAGTATAATTACATCTGCCAAATAGATATATTCCCTTCCCTTCACAAACAAACAAACAAACAGTAAAAAATTTGTCTCCAAAGCTTTTTAAAGCAAATGGAGCCTCACCCAAGGATTGAATTTCCATTTGAATTTCTCCAGGGAATGGAGCTTCTCATGTGAGACATTAACTTGAAAATCATCCAGGTATTTCAGAAGTCACTAATTAGTCTTACCATCACCATCCCAACTGCATATTTTATATTTGGTTGGTTGCTCTGCTAGATGATAGTGCAGATGAAAGTGTCCTATTATCCCATAATTTATTCATTCATCAGCATTGGTCAAGTCTCTGCTATGTGCTAAGCAGAATGTGTCTTCCAGTGAAAGGAAATAAGGCTAAATTTTCTGGTCTGGTTGTGCTGAGATAAATTCATACTCAAGAAGTACCATGTGACTTGAGATTCAGAGTCCCTGAGTTTGGATAGAGGACTTTCTAGAACCATTGAACCCTGGTGTAGTTCAGTGGAGACCCTGGAACCCAGGGAGACATTAGTGTCACTTCCTCATTCTCTTGTGAACAAGGTTAGACAGGTTACTTGGCTCAAACCAGCCTGTGTGTGATGATACAGGAGTCAGTGAGCTTTGATGATGTGGCTGTGGACTTCACCCAGGAGGAGTGGACTTTACTGGACCCAACTCAGAGAAACCTATATGGTGATGTGATGCTGGAGAACTACCAGAACCTGGCCACAGTAGGTAGGATTCCTATCATTCTGCTTTGTTGAAATATTGGTCAGGCCCCCGCCTCAGGCCCTGCCCTGTGGCTGGGGGGTGTGGTGTGAGAGTGTGGGGGGGGGGCGGCGGAGGGGGGGGAGGACTGCCAGCCAGATCCCCAGGCGAGGCTCACTTGCCTGTCCTGACCCGGCCCCAGCGCCCAGCAGGTTGGCCAGCCCACCCATGATCAAGGCGATCCTCATCTTCAACAACCACAGGAAGCCGTGGCTCTTTAAGTTCTACCAGCCTTACAGTGAGGGTACACAACAAATCATCAGGGAGACTTTCCATTTGGTATCTAAGAGAGATGAAAATGTTTGTAATTTCCTAGAAGGAGGATTTTGGTAATCAGTCTTAAACTGTGTAACTTACTGTGACCTGTGGAGTTAAATCTAATTAATTGGAGGATCTGACAACAAACTGATTTATAGACATTATGCAACACTATATTTTGTCTTCTGTGTGGATTCTTCAGAAAGTGAACTTGGCATTTTAGATTTAATTCAAGTTTTCATGGAAACATTAGACAAATGTTTTGAAAATGTCTGTGAACTGGATTTAATTTTCCATGTAGACAAGGTTCACAATATTCTTGCAGAAATGGTGATGGGGGGATGTATTGGAGACCAACATGAATGAAATTGTTACACAAATTGATACACAAAATAAACTGGAGAAATCTGAGGCAGGTTTAGCTTAGCAGGAGCTCTAGTCGGTGCTGTATCAGCTGTAAAGAACATGAATCTTCCTGAGATCCCAAGAAATATTAACACTGGTGACATCAGTATAAAAGTGCCAAACCTGCTCTCTTTTAAATAAATTATAAAACAGGCCACTCCCAGGTAAAATCCAGGGGGAAAAGTCATCTAAGTTTACCATATACTTGTTTAAAAATAGAGGAGGAAAGTCTTAACTTTTGCTCTTGGATTTAAGTCAAGGTACTGTATAGAAGTTGTGTAAAATCAGGCTGGGGATTTAGCTCAGTGGTTCTGCCACCTGCCTTGCAAGCACAAGGACCTGAGTTTGATCCCTGGTACCAAAAAGAAGTTGTATAAAATCAGTATGAAAGTTTGATGTTGCTTTTCTTGCTTAGTGATTTTAAAGAAATTGTATAGTTCCAGTGTAATTTTTTCTTTTCTAAACTGCATTCCTATGCCCACCTAAGGCGTGCCTCTATGTGTTGATTATTACAGTATTTTTTTTTTTTTTTTTGGTACCGGGGATCCAACTTGGGACCTTGCACTTTCGAGACAGGTGGCAGAACCACTGAGCTAAATCCCCGGCCCTGCGGCTATTATACTACTTTGAAAGTGAGGTATTTCTTTAATTATGTACAACCAAAAATGTTGGTATTTTGTATGGATCACAAGTGTAGCAGTCCTTAATTCTTTCTGCTGTTTGTCACATTGTTATTTAAAGAACCAAGTATGTATTGCATGAAAACATTATGACCTTTTCCTCTTAGTTTAAATAAACTCAAAAGTAACTGGAAAAAAAAAAGAAATATTGGTGATGTTAATTCCAAATGCAGTAAGAAATAATAGACATAGTTCCTGACTTAAGTAGATTTTAATCTGCTGTGGTGCTTCTCAAAATGTCCGTGATCAATAACAATGCTGTCAGTCTGTTAGAAGGTTACATTTTCCTTCTCCACCTCTAATTCGCTGAATCAGAAACCTGGATGTGAGTGGGGACATATGCTTGTAAAGCCAGCTACTCTGGAGGCTGAGGCAGAAGGATTGCAAATTTGATCTCAGCCTGGGCAATTTAGTGAGACCCTGTCTCAAAATAAGGACTGGAGATGGTTCCGCTCCCTGCCTCGCAAGTACAAGGTCCTGAGTTCAATCCCTGGCACCAAAAAAAAAAAGGACTGGAGGTATACCTCAGTGCTCCCTGGGTTTCGTCCCCAGTATCACAAAGGAAAGGGAGGAGAGTATGGGAAAGAAGAAAGGAGAGAGAAACCTGGATGTGAAGCCACATCACTTGTGTGACAATAGGTTCTTTCAATGACTGATGCACAGTACTTGAGAACCACTGGTATAGTTGTTTCCCCAGGGGAACAATGGTCTCCATTGCATTTCCTTTATTTCCAATTTGAATAAAAGTAAAGCCTTAGTGCTTAGTAAGTGTGAATATAAGACTGAATTTGGATTTTAAGAGACACAGGTAACCAAACATTTGTGGCACAGACAGAGCAGTATTCGTGGGTTTCTTATCTCTTCTATAAGTTTTTCCACCAGTCTTCCTTTCTCTGTACACAGGATGTCAGATCATCAAGCCCAGTCTGATCTCTTGGTTGGAACAAGAAGGAGAGTTAAGGACAGGTCAGAGAAGAGTTCTCCAAGGTGAGTATTCTTGAAAAAAATACTAGTTAATGAGAAATTTAGTATGTTTACAACTATAGTGAGGAGACTTTAGAAGATGGACTTTGTGTCAGAAGGCTGAGTCCATTTTTCTCAGAAGTTAGGAAATCTTCAACTTCTAGTACTCCCTTACTTAAACTTTTACTTCACTTCTCTGTTCTGTTTTGTTTTGAGATGTGTTCTTGCTGTGTAGTTCAGGAGGGCCTTTCCCTCACTACTGTAGCCCAGGTTGGCCTTGAACTCGCAGCAGTACTCCTGCTTCAGCCTCCCAGAGTGCTGGGATTAGAAAGTATGCCATTATGCCTAGCCTGGTTTGTTGCTTTGATGTATGCTCTTTTTCCAGAAATTTTCTATTTTCTTTCCCTGGTGTTTTCACTATCAATTTTTTTTTTTGGTACTGGGGATCGAACTCAGGACTTTGCGCTTGCGAGGCAGGCGGCAGAACCACTGAGCTAATTCCCGGCCCCACTATCAATTTTATTTAGAATCAGTTTTTGATATTAATATTTCTACCACATGACCTTATCTTTGTCAAATTTTCAACATAGTTCAACACCTCAAATCTTTTTCTGCTTTTTCCAGCAAATACAAATGAGCCTTATTTTTTTTAATTCTTTCAGTCTTTCATTTTTTCCTTTACACCTTTTCATTTGTTTTTCTGTTTTGCTTCAGAATGGGAAATGCAACTTAAAACCAAATGCTCGGCACTTCAGCAGGAAATTTTAAGGAGTAACCTGTCCAATGATATACGAATGGTAAGGATAAGAAGAGGTATATCTTATTTTTCACCCACAAAGAAAATCAGGAATTACATCATAGTATATCATCAAATATAAGAGATATTTGAGAGAGGCAGATACACACAAGAGGGACTGTCTCTGAAAAGATTTTCTGAATCTAATGATTTGGGGGTGTCCAGGCCTGTAGTGAAACATAATGTTTCAGAGTTCCCACAAGTACACATTCTCAGTATAAATAGACTTCTGGTTTTAAAAAAAATTTTTTGGAACAGAAATCTTTTTAAGATTAGAATAGTTGGCACAGCATTTTGGAGTGTGGGCCAGGGATTTAGCTCAGTGGTTCCACCACCTGCCCCGAAAGCGCAAGGACCCGAGTTCGATCCCTGGTACCAAAAAAAAAAAAAAAAAAACCAAGCATTTTGGAGTGTGTGTTTAATCATACACATGAAATATATCAAGAGAGCAGGAACTCTATGCATATAATGACAATGGTAATCATCATCACTATTGTTATCATTATCACCATGTTTCTATCATCAGATTGATTGTATCTGTTAACTTGCTTCAGAAAATCCTTTAGTCATCACTCATCCCTCTTAGCAACAGGCAGGAATCCACAATGGAGGAGGACTCTATGACTGGAAGCAATGTGAAGAATTCTTCAGTGAACACACATGCGGTAAGACCCACATGAAAACTCAAAGTATAGGAGACACTTATGATTGTGATCAGCGTGGAAAAGATTTCCTTACTGTTCAACAAGAAACCTCTACTAGAGAGAAACTTTCTGCATTTAATCGGAGTGGAGAAATCTTCTGCATGTCACCTAATGTTTACCAGAGACAGTTGTTTACTAGCACACAAGAGAAATCCTTTGAATGCAGTGACTGTGGGAAATCCTTTGTTAATCAGTCACACCTTCAAGCACATTGGGAAATTCACAGTGGAGACAAACTCTGTGAATGGAAGGAATATGGGGGTTTTATAAACTCTGCAAGCCTTCCTGTGCTTATAGAAACACTCAATGCAAGAAAACCTTACAAATGTAAGGAATGTGGGAAAGGCTATAGATATCCTGCATATCTAAATATTCACATGCGAACTCACACTGGAGAGAAACCCTATGAATGTAAGGAATGTGGAAAAGCCTTCAATTACTCTAATTCATTTCAAATACATGGAAGAACTCACACTGGAGAGAAACCCTATATATGCAAGCTATGTGGAAAAGCTTTCACTCAGTACTCGGGCCTTAGTATACATCTACGATCTCACAGTGGAGACAAGCCCTATGAATGTAAGGAATGTGGGAAAGCATTCCTTACATCCTCACGTCTTATTCAACATATAAGGATTCACACAGGAGAGAAGCCTTTTGTATGTGTCCAATGTGGGAAAGCCTTTGCTATTTCTTCAAATCTTAGTGGACATCTAAGAACTCACACTGAGGAGAAGGCCTGTGAGTGTAAGGTATGTGGGAAAGTATTTGGGTATCCCTCATGTCTTAATAATCACATGCGAACTCACAGTGCCCCCAAATCCTACACATGTAAGGAATGTGGGAAGGCTTTTAACTATTCTACCCATCTTAAAATTCACATGCGAATCCACACTGGAGAAAAACCCTATGAGTGTAAACAGTGTGGGAAAGCCTTTAGTCATTCCAGTTCATTTCATATACATGAAAGAACTCACACTGGAGAGAAGCCCTTTGAATGTAAGGAATGTGGGAAAACTTTCATATGTTCCAGTTCCTTTAGAATTCATGAAAGAACTCACACTGAAGAGAAACCCTATAAATGTCAGCAATGTGGGAAAGCCTACAGTCATCCTCGTTCGCTTCGAAGACATGGAAAGACTCATTAGCAAGAAACCTTATACATGGTAGGGAATATGAGAAAGTCCTCATTTACCCCACTTTACACAGAAGAAATGAATGGACCCACACTGAACAGAAGTCTATCAAACATGCTTAGTAGCCAGGCATAGTGATGTATACCAATGGTCCCAGCTACTTAGGCTGAGACAGGAGAATCATGAGCACAAGGCTGTTAGGGACGACGTAGCAAGACTGAATCCTCCCCACCAAAAGTAAAATGAGCTAGTGGTGACCCCTAATGCAGGATATACAGAAGACTACGTGAAGTCTTGAGAAGATGGCCATCTTCAAAAAGAGATAGAGGGCTAGAATGGAATAGGCTTCTATTAAGGCCTGCTAGGTGGACAGGGTGATGCATGATTGTAATTCTAGCACTCTGGGAGATTGAGGCAAGAGCAAGCAAATTGATCTTTGACTCCCAGCTTCCAGAATTATAAGGAAATAAATTTGTTGTTTAAGCCACCTGGTCTGGTATTTTATTATCAGCTATAGCAAATGACTATAGTAAGGAATATGGGAAACCTTTAGATTGCTCAAAAGCCTTAATATTCATATGCAATGCCTGGTGTGGTGGTGTGTACCTGTAATTCCAGGTATTCCAGAGACTGAAAAAGGAGGATCTAGAGTTTGAGTCCACCCTGGGCAACACTGTGAGACACCATTGCAGAAAAACATGATCACACTGGAGAGAAAACCTCACTAGAGAGAAGTCATATGTGTGTGAGAGGTGTGGGAAAGAGTACATTGGATTTTCATATCTTTCTAAACAGGGAAGAAATCACACAGGAGAGAAAGTCTTTGAATTTGAGAGATGTAAAAAAAAAAAAGTGTTCATTGAATCTTTTTTTTGTTTTGTTTTGTTTTTGTTGTTGTTGTTCATTGACTCTTTACTTTGGGGGGGCCGGTACCGGGGATTGAACTCAGGACCTTGCGCTTGTGAGGCAGGCTCGGTGCCACTGAGCTACATCCTGACCCCGAATCTTAATATTTACATCCAAGCCATCTGGTGATAGATCATGTGAAAATAAAAGAGGAGCATGGTAAACCCAGCACTCAAGGAGACTGAGGACAGGAGGAGAGTTCAACTCTAGTCTGTTCAGCAAGACCCTGTCTCAAAAACAAAAATCAAAACAAAACAAAAAACTGGGGATGTAGCTCAGTGTGAAGACCCTGGGTTCATTCTCAAAGCTACAAAAACTAAATAAACAAGGAAAGTGAAAAAGTTTCTTTTACTGTGAAAGTCAGGAATATGATCTAATATGCTATGTGGGAGCTTACAGTTCTGAAACCTCATTAGGATTATGGGAAAATGTATATTAATTTTTCATATCATAAAGAGTGTGTAAGAAGTCAGGCTGGTGAGAAGCCTTATAGTAATACTTGTAGGGAACCTTTCATTAGTTCCACACACAAAAAAGTTTTTTTCAGTACCGGGAATCAAACTGAGGACCTTTTGCTTGCCAGGCAGGTGAGGTGCCACTGAGCTAAATCCCTGGCCCTTGTACAAAAAATTTTAATGTCTAAAATCACAGAGGCCCTGGGAAACTATGGAATGTAGTATGTTCTTCAAATAAGTCAACATGCTATAATATTCACATGAAATTTCACATTCATAAAATTATGCTATTCCACAAATAGTTTCAGTACCTAATGTAATTCCAAATCTTCCATCCTGTTTCTTTATCAATGTATTCATTTCACATATATAGTTGTACACACAAATACAATCAGCCAAATAAAATCTTTTTTTTTTTTTTTTTGGTGCTGAGGATTGAACCCAGGGCCTTTGCATTGAGCTACATCCCCAGCTTTTTTTTTTTTTTTTTAATTTGAGACAGGTTTTACTGAGTGGCTAAATTGCCCAGGCTGGCCTCAAATTTGTGCTCCTTCTGCTGCAATCTCACACTCTGTGTGAACATGTTGTATTTTGAGGAAGTTATTTGTTAGATTAAGAATTACATGTAAGTATATACATACCCCTCCTTTTTTTCAGTGCTAGGGATGGATCCCAGGACTTTGCACATGCTAGGCAATCACTCTACCACTACTACATTCTATAGCCCCCACTAGTTTCTTTAGTTGATGGTAGAGGGCCAACCCACAGCCTCGTGCATACTAAGGAAGTACTTGACACTGAGTTATGCCCCCAGAACCTTGAATACATTTTTCCCCTCTGGCTTTTGGATTATTTTCATGATTTTTTGGTTATCCTTGGTATTTTGTAATTTTTCATTAGTACATACTTTCAGTACATAATGTTTACATTCCTTGTGTAGAGTTGGTACATGTATATAATACATGTTGGTACATGTACATCTTAATTCCTTTTTTCATCCCCTTTCCCTCCCCTCCCCTCCCTTCGTCCATCTCTTGATCCCATTCCCATTTGAGAAAGACTTATCTCTCTATTTCCTGTTATCTTATTTTGCTCTTTATAAGTCGAGAAAACGTGATATTTAAGCTGTGTGTCTGATTTACTTCACTTAACTTTATGGTCTCAAGGTGCATCCATTTTCCTAAAAATGACTCAAGTGTATCTTTCTTTGTGGCTGAGTAGTTCTCCATTTTGTGTAAATACCACTTTTTTTAATCCATTCATTTGCTGATGGACTTAATAGGCTACTTCCAAGATTTAGCTATTATGAATTGTCCTGCTATAAACATGAGTATGCATGGATCACTGTAATATGATGTCTTTAACTCTTTTGGGAAGGTACCTAGAAGGGGAATAGCTGGGTCAAATGCTGTACAGCAAAAGAAACAACCAATAAAGTAAAAAAGAAAGCCTACAGAATGGGAAAAATATTTTGCCAACTATTGCTCAGACAGAGGACTAATATCTAGACTATATAAAGAATTTCAAAAATTAGATCCCCACAAAATAAATACTTCACAGGAGAAATACAAATGGCCAATAAATACATAAAGAAATACTCAACACTGCTGGTCATTAGGAAAATGCAAATTAAAACAACAGTGAGATTTCATCTTACACCAGAAAAAATGGCCATCATCAAGAAATCAAAAAATAACAAATCCTGGCAAGGCTACAGGGAAAAAGCCCTTCTACATTGCTGGTACTATGTATTTTTTAAATGGCATCCCTATGTGTAGTTTTTTGTGTTTCTTTTGTATTTGTCCTGTTTAGTGTTCTCTGAGCCTTTTGAATCTGTGTTTTAATGTTTGACATTAATTTTGAGAAATTCTCAGACATTATTTCAAGTATTTATTCCTTGTTTCCTTCTTGAGTTCCCATTTTGCAAATGTTATGACTTTTTCAGTTGTCCACAGTTCTTATATATACAAGTTGAATATTTCCTAATACAATACTGTTGTATTGACACTAAAAAGTTCTGACTTTAAGAGCATTTCAGATTTTTTTATTCAAGGTGCTTAGCCAGTAAAGTTTATGGGCATATACCAAAATCTTTGAAAAACTCACAAATCTGAAACACTTCCGATCCCAAGAATTTCAGGTAAATGATACTCACCCCTCTATTCTCTTGGTTTCTATTCTTACTTCTCTTTTTAGTTCTGAAAGTTCCTGTTGATACATCCTTAATCTTAGAGATGCTTTAGTCAGTTGTCTCCAGTTTTGATTTCTGTTGTACTGTTTTCCATCTCTACCATTTCTTTTCATTCTTAGAATTTCCATCTCTCTTCTTGCACTTCTCATCTGTTCCTAGATGCTGCCTATTAATCTGAATTTCCAATCTGATCATTTTAACATCTCTGCCATATCTGGTTCTGGTATTGTTCTCTCCCTTCAAACTGATTTTTGCCTTTTCGTATGCCTTGTAATTTTTCCTTCAGAGCTGGACATGACCTACTGGATAAAATGAACTGCTGTAGTCCTTTAGTAATCTGGTAGAATGCTGTAGGACAGAGGAACTGTCTGCTTCTAGGCTTTAGATTTCAGTCTTGTAGTAAGTCTGTGTCTCTGAACTATGAACTTAACAGGGTTTTTTCCCTCCTCCCACTTATTTGGGTCAGAATGCCTACAGCTGGCTGAATTTGAATATTTCCCTTCTGTGTCATTGAGGCGGTAATAAAACCCCAGCAGAGGGGCTGGTGGTGTAGCTCTTCTATAGCACTTGTCTAGCATACATAAGGCCCTAGGTTCAATTACCTGTACTGCCAAGAGAAAAAAAAAAGGCCTAGTCTGCTGGTTAACGGGTTTCTCCTGTGGGATAAAGAACGACTCTCTAGGGCCTAGTGATGTGGCTCAGTGGCAGAGCGCTTGCCTACCTTGCGTGAGCCCCTGGATTCCAACCCTACTACTGCAGTGCAGCGCAGTGGTATGTTTTAAATGGCTCCTCTTCCAAGAAATCTTCCAAGATTTCTCTCTGACATTTTACTGTAACAGCCTAATTGGGCTTCTGGTGGTAAAACTCAGAAAAGTACAGGGAACTCTCCATGACGGGTACCCCTTTTAACTTTCAGGCTGAAGCAGCTCTTCAATTGCAGGTTTTCCTACACTGCCACTGTTTCTGGAAGTGGTTCTGCTCTAGTATGGGGTGACTCTATCCTCCAATGTGTCTCCTGTTTTGGAGCTGGCAGTTTTCCCTGGGACTTCTCTTCCACATCTCAGAGCAGTTGTTGGATTTTCAGGTTATTTAGCTATTCAACTTCCCAGGGCCAGCTGATAACTTCCAAGCTTTTTACATGGGAACTGGAAGTAAATGTATTTTGTTAAAATGGCTTCATCAGCACTCAGCCCTTCCTGCCCTGTGTGAGCTTCTGTCCACTATATGGACTCACAGTGGACAAAGCCCTGTGGATATAGGGAAGGCTGAAAGGCCTTCACTGATTCCTCAGACTGCAGCAAACTTGTGAGAAGCCCTTTGAGTGTAAGAAATGTATGAAATGATTTACATGCTCCTTTCCCCTTAATATTCACATGTGAACTCAGTGCAGAAAAACCACATACCTGTGAGGAATGGAGGAAGGCTTTTACATACTCCACAGCCCACATGTGTGGGAGGAGTGCTGGGGATTAATTCCAGGCCCTCACACATGCCAGGCAAGTGCTCTACCACTGAGCTACACTCAACAGCCACTCCACAACCTTTTTAATACTCATTTGTGAAGTCACCAGAGGGAAAGCCACAGAGAAATGTAAATAATGTGAAGAAGCCTTTCAGCTATTCCAGTTCATTCCAAGAACATGAAAGAATTCAAACTTTCGAGAACCCCTATGAATGTAAGAAGTATAATAAAACCTTCAGGTCTTAAAATTCCTTTTGGTATCTAAAAAACTCGTTGAGATGTGCTCAGTTGTGTGCACCAAAAGTCCCAGCTTCTTGGGTGGCTGAGGCAAGCAGATTGCTTGAGCCCAGGATTTCAGGACCAGCTTGGACAGCATAGCCAAGAGGAACCCTGTTTCAAACAAATCAAACTTCACAATGGAGAAAAAATGTAAGAGTTGCAGGAAAGCTACCTGATACCATTCACTTGAGAGATGTGAATAAATTTAACATCAAGAAATGTGAGAGGAATGTGACAACAGCCACTATTATCTCAGGATTTTTGTGAGTTTTTGGTGTTTAGTACTCGGGATTGAATCCAGGGCCTGAGGCACAGTGTGTATGTACTCTACCACTAAGCTACATCCCAATACCTTTACTCAGACCATAATGAAAATGTAAGTCAGAGGAAAGGAACCCTATGTAAATCACACATGGTGGCACATAATGTAATCCCAGCATTCTGGGAGGCTGAAGCAGGAGGATCTCAAATTTGAGCCCCAGCCCTGGCAATTTAGTGATTTAGCAAGAGCCTGCCTCAAAACAAAACACAACAAAATGGGGTGGGGGTGCCTCAGTACAAAGACCTAATC